CTAAGAGTACCTTGCTGTCATTGAAACTTGTCACACGAAAATCGTTAGGATACCTGCAAGGACCTCTCTAAAATATGGTGTAAGAAATAAAGTTGGTAAAAGAGGAAAAATACCCAACAGTGTCATGGTTACACCTAAAGAAAATATGCAAAGCAAGACAAAGAGCCTTACTGAATAAGTTCATCGCGCCAAAATGCAAATTTCCAATACCACCATAACAAGACAAAAACCAAACAAAACAACTAACTAAGTACCCGTCAACATAAACAACAGAGGAGATAAGATAAAGGTACCAGAAAGAGTAATTGCTTAACTCACATCTCAAAACAAAGCTGCCAGCAGACAGAATAAAATTCTCACAATGGTCCTTAATAGTCCAGAAATAAGTGACGGAAGGCAGGAGATAACAACCAAAGTGAGACAACAGTAACAGTTCCAGTTGCCAATGAAGAACCAAACTAAATGCTTAGAACTAAAATTGTAACCACTACAGCAACCTAATATGGAAACGAGAACAGCAAGTGAAGAATCTCTGCTAAACATCAAGATTGTAGTTAAGAGGGGAAAACATCAAGATTTAATATGTGAAAATCTAAAATCAAGAAAAAAAATCATAAAGACACGCCATAATAAGAAATCCACTATAAAAAATGAGAGAAATTGTACATATCTTCAATGTTAACACTCTCTTCTTCACTTTACACTAACTTCCATTGTCTTCATATGTGAATGCAAGAGTTTCTCACAAATTACACCCTTTCAATTGGATATAACTCTTAAGAAGGAAGAGAAAATGGACTAAACTGACTTACAACACCACAATGTTAACCCATTGTACCTCGACATTGACTCATCTGTCTCAAAATAGGTAAACCGTGCTACAGTAATCTATCTATAGCATTATGTCACTATGAATACAACGTTGTAGTGTTAAGACTATGTCTTGAAGGGGATCCACAGTGCTTTAGCACTCAATTTATAGTGCATTAGCAGTAGATTTACAATGTTTGATGTTGTATAGTTTTTTTTCACTGGGACGCTTTGACCCCCTGCACTCTCCAATTAGTTCCTCATCGAGAGCTCGATCGAAAAAATTGAGGTTTAGGTTAATAGTACACCCCGATTGATCAACATAATCATATTCCACAAATAACTTAAAGAAAATTCATAAGAGAATAGCTTTTAAACAATTTCTATTGGGAGATCTAAGGACATTTGAGACTTCTCTTTTATTAAATGGTATATATGTGCAAGAAGTATTTTTTTTTAATTTAAAAATATTTTAAGAGGAAAATTTTAAAGTTATATCTGATTTTTTAATAGAGATATTTTCAGGAATAAGTTTTTATTCATGGAGACTTCTTCATGAATTAATTAAGAAGTTTTTTGGTTGAAAGTATTATGAGCGTAAAATAAAATAAGAAAAAATGAGGGAACCCACTTTTAGCTTTGTTTTGAAGAAAACCAATTGTTAAGCATTTTTGTAGGGATTTAGAGTACTATAAATTCCTTATTTTTGGCAGATTTAACATTATCCAAATTATGTAAATTTAAAACATTAAGAAACATATTTCAATGCATTTGAAATAGATCATTAAAAAACTTGAAAAAAAACATTTCATTGCATTTAAACTGTGTTGAGACTTACAGCTGCGCAAAAAGCTGCCTTCTCACTTCTCTTGAAGAGAAGAAATAAATATAAGAGATCCCTATCTACCAATATATCACTTGTTCATAAATAAACTTCTTTACATCTGCATGCCAATAAATCTCAATTTACAGCATAAATTTCATTTTTTACTATAAAAAAATCCTACTAAAATTTCTGATATTAATTCCTTCCATGATTTTTCTCTGCAAGTCTCTGCACTACCCCATTATACTTAATGATATGCACATATATGTACAAATATGCTGTCCATTGATCTCAAAGATGCATTAACTGAAGCAAACCATGTAGTTGCTAAGTATTAATTTATGACATAAAGAGTGAGATTACAGCTTATGGCAGTACAGAAAAGATGTTTTCTAAGATCTGGCGATGAAGAGATGAAAATAAATATGATAGATGCCAATTTGTCCAGTAGATGATATGCCATGAATTTGATACCCTTCTCCTGAGAATTCAATCATTAAGAAATTAAATGCACATCTCTTTGACAGATACTGAGCCATAGATGATGTCTCCATTCCGACCTATCATTGCAATGAATGCATGCAGTACTATCCTGAATTCGGCCAACCAACAAAGCTACCCCATTGCTTCACCCATACACACACATTTAATATTTAAATATAAACATAAGAATCAGTTATTTTTCCTTCACATTTAATGCATAGACAAGCCAGAAATGAGGCCTTGTTCTGTACCGCATTATTCATTTTTTCCTGTATTGTGCTATGACATTCATTAAAACTGGAGAAAGCTGGAAACTTAGAAATCTCGCGCAGATTTACTCTAGCACCTGAGCAGATCCAAGAACATAAATTTATATCCATATAAGCGTCCATTATGTCTTATTTGCAGTCCGATGTGATCAATATATAACAACATAGAAAATACTTTTCAGAGTTTTAGCTCTAGCACAGTTAAGTTGCAGCTGCTGATATAAATGCTATAGTATTTACCATGTATTTGCACTAGTAGAGCCAATACATACATACATTACAAATACAAAAAATGTTCATTACATTTATTTAATTCAACACAATTAGATGTAATTTATAAATTTTCATTAGAAAAATGATGTTGATAACCATATTTTATATATATAGGCAGATTGTGCTTCATTCAAGATGTCATGCAAGAAATTTGTTTAAAATGTGTTACTTTATCATTTTTGGAAATATACTATAAAAAAATTTATAAGAAAGGAGATAGAAAGCAGAAATTTCTTATGACATAAAGCATAAGCAATCACAAACACATTGAAAAACACCATGTTTTCTTAAGACTTTACAAATTAATTCATGTGAACAAACAAATTTAATGCTTATTAAAAAGCAGATTATGAAAATATCTTAATGCATATATACATTACAAGTATAGAAAATGCTCATTACATTTATTTAATTCAACACAATTAGATGTAATTTATAAATTTTCATTAAAAAAATGAGGTTGATAACCATATTTTATATATAGCCAGATTGTGCTTCTTTCAAGATGTCATGCAAGAAATTTGTTTAAGATGTGTTACTTTATCATTTTTGGAGATATACTATAAAAAAAATTTATAAGAAAGAAGATAGAAAGCAGAAATTTCTCATGACATAAAGCATAAGCAATCACAAACACATTGAAAAACACCATGTTTTCTTAAGACTTTACAAATTAATTCATGTGAACAAACAAATTTAATGCTTATTAAAAAGCAGATTATGAAAATATCTTAATATGTTTTGAGATTTTTTTTTCTTTCTTTCTTTCAGATTTCTATGTTTCTCAGGGAAAGACAACAGTCAAATCTTCTGACGTTTTCAATTGATGATAGTATATATATATATATAAAATGTTTCTCAGGGAAAGGAAAAGAGATGTAAGCGCAGATGTGTATGGTAGTGTTATTATTCAAGAAGAAGCAAGGAACAAGGAGCAAGGAGCAAGGAAAGAAAATAATCATTGAGTGGCATTTCTTAATGGTCGAAGAAGGCATGGAAGATACCAAAGATGGGGCTCCAAAAAGTGAAATGATTTAAGTGCTAAGAAGTAGGAGGCAAGGTCACAACAAGCACAAAAGAAACAAATTGAAAATTCCTGTCTTTGCTTGAGGCAAGAGGCATCATGAATTTAGGATGGCAGAAAAAAAAAAAAAAAAAAAAATAGAGGGCACTCATGGAGACAATCAACAAACATAATTCAGGCATGGTGCAGAAAACAAGAAGGGAAACTCTCCTACTTGTGGAACAAAAGACAAAAGAGAACCAATTTAAAATGAACACAAAGTAGCCTTTTGAAGCTAATGAGGCTTTGTTAAAAATGATGATATCCCTTGTACAACACCAAGTCCTATAAAATATGCTGAGAAATGTTCTTTAATACTGCGATCGTGGTGCCAGTTCAAATAAAAATATATTCATACCTCATCATATATCTAACTCCACGTGCACTTATATATTATTTTAAAAAACTTATTTAATAAAATCCTAGCTAAGAGCAGTTATTCTATGTGGAAGCTAAGTTTCGTCCGAATATTTAAGCCCGCAGCTCGGTACCACGATATTGCCGCTCGGTACCGCGGCTCGATATCGCTGACATGACTCATTCTAGTTGGTATAGATCTAGATCTGTAGAGTTGTCTTCGGCATCCGCACAGAATAATCTCTCCTAAAAGTGGGTGCATATATAAGAATGCCCCTTATCTTAAATTGTATTAAAAAAAGATTAAAATGTGGATTTTTTATCATAAATTAATATAAATAGTAATATATAGGATGGAAAAAAAAAAGTTTTAAACAACCACAAACTCACTTGAACAAGAAAGAAAACTATGAAAACAGGCTATAGAAAAACTCTCTTCTGCCATAATAGAATAATTTAAAACCTTGAAGCACAGCTTCTGCCTGATTAGGCTACAGCCACAGTCCATTAGGGCATTACTTATTTAAAATGGAAATCCTTAAAGGTGAAGAGCAAGTTGAGCAACTAACACTAGGTAGCTAAATAACTTTCATATATAAAGTTTCAGGAAATAGAGCAAAGGAGAGAAGCTAAGCACTCAAGGGGGGACCTTTCCTTTAAAATAAGTGCTTGCACTATACAGCAAGAAAGCAAATTAAGGAAGTTAGCACCAACTACTATAGAACATTAATGACATTAAAAAACATCTCAGTAGTGAGTAAGCACTACTGAATAAACTATGACAATCCTTTCCTCTCTTTTATTTTTCTTCCATTCACCTATCCCCAAATTCCCCATGCAACGTTCACCAGTACTAGGGTTAGGGTTAGGGCTTCCAAGATCGCTTGTCATAATAACTTTATTTATTATTATAATATTATAATAAGGAATAAGTTTAGAGTGCAAAGAAATATTAATTATATTTGCATTCATTAATTGCAGTGCCAAGAAGAAACTGAGAAGAGTGGCTTGCTTTTCCAACCAAGGAAGCAGGAGCCCCTCACCACCTGAAGTCTGTACCCTTCTGCTGGATAGTGCAGTCTAAGAAGTAGCCTCGCCTGTGACAAGGCGAAGGCACTCAGTGGAACTGGCAAGAAGCCAGCAGCCCTCATCATCTCCTCCCACCGTTCGAACCGTTCGTGCTTGTCTTCTCCTGATACAACTCCGGCAATCTCCCGCCCGAACCATACTCTCTCTACCGTCATCCGCTCCCCGCTCGTGGGCGGCAGTGTAGCTTCCAACGACTCGAACACAGCCGTGTAGTGCTCGAGGGCCTCTGCAAATCGCTCTTTGAACATAGGTGAGCTGTGGCTCGCCTCACGCTCTGCGAGGGTCACTACCACTGGGTTGAGGGCGCGAACTGATCGGAGGAAGGCATGAGCGTCACGGAAGCCATCGGATTTGAGGAGGTTGTTGAGGAAGAGGACGCAGTTAACGGCTAGTGTCTCACCTGGACGAAGATGGAAGGCAGTGGCGCCACCACTGATGTCGGTGTTTGTGGCGGATGCTGTGGTGGAAGGAGGGACGAGGAGTGGGTGGAATTGGAAGGGAAGGTGGAGGGAGGCGGCGAAGGAATGTAGTCGAAGGGCAGTGCGGCGGAGAACTGAGAGATCAGAGCCGGTACCTGTGATGCGGATTGAGGGGGGATCGGAGGGGTCGGAGCGGTCAGCGATGGCTTGGAGGAAAGGGGGCCATTGGAGACCATGGGAAGTGTCGAAGTCAAGGATGTGGATGTGGCGGTGACCCTCTATGGCTTCGAGGATAGCTTGGTTCGCTGTAAGATGGGCAAAGCGGAGGAAAGGGGTAATCTGGTTGAGCGAGAGGTAGGAGGATTGTGTGGCATCACTGGACTCTGTGGGAGAGGGGGAAGGGAGGAGGGAAAGGCGGTCGAGACGGAGGGACAGGGCGAGTGTGAATTGATGGGCGATACGGTCGGTGGAGTCGCCAAATGGAGAGGTGGTGGCGGAGAGGAGGGAGACGGCGCGGCGTGCAGCAGGATGGTCAGCACGGTGGATCAGTTCGGCGCAGCGGAGAAGGAGGTAGCGTGGGGAAGGGGGATGGTGATGGAGGTGGTGGGGGTGGGAGTCTTCTTCACCTTCTTCATGTGATTTGAGTGAGCTCAACATTTCAGTAGCTAGATAGAACTGTTGAGATGAGAAGGAATAAGTGGCTTGAGAAGTGATGAAAAAGAGAAGAAAGAGGACGAAGTGTTTGCATTTTCTTACTTTAATATAACATCTGCAAATGAAGCTTACTTGAAAGGACAACATCTGCCAAAGAAGCAGTGGGGAGAGGGGGGCTGCTGCTTCTCTATGTTGATGGACTGCACACAAATCTCCTTTCTCTATCTATTTCCGTCTCACTAACTCCATGGCTCTCTCTCTCTCTCTCTCTCTTTCTCTCTGTGGGAATTGGCCATGGTGGGGTGTGTAAGCAGATTATTTGTAAGTTGTATGTGTCATGTATGTATTGTCGTAGATTATTTTAATAGATATTTATGCACAAAATACATGACAATACGTTCTAACATATAGATAAAAAATATTAACATAGACACCCTCTCTATATGCGTAGTGGGATATAATAAAGGCTATTACATATGCTCTTCTTGTCTTGTTTCATATGGACTCTAGTGTCTTTGGGATGAAACCTGATTTGCTGTCGGCTTAGGAAAGATGGAGAGGGATAAGCCAGGATGAGGGAGGAATCTTAGTAGTATCCTGGGCATGAGGGGACTTTGAGTTGCTAAGGGAATGGAGAGCTACAGATGTGTGAAAAGTTAGCACTAAGGAAACAGAGAATGATTTAGATAGCTCTCTACAGATAAAGTGGAAGTTTGTGCACGGGAAGAGTGACTAAAAGTTGTAACTATGACTTAGAGATACACCAGAGGAAAATATCTTTTTGTTAATCACCTGCTGAGCCTGAAACAGTTCGAAGAACTATCAGCCTCTCTCTCTTCTCTTTCCCCTCTCTCTCTCTCTCTCTCTCCTCTTTCCTCTCTCTCACAAGAAGAAATTATGTATATTTTTTTATGATTATATACATACTATTCATAAAAATTGTTCTCCATACAATAATATACATAATTCTGTAACAATACATAATAATAATATACAGATTAAAAGGTATAACTATGACTGAGAAAATGGTAGCTAGGAGGTTATATTATATAATATTAGGCTATATTATATAATAATTAATTTTCTTTAATATAATATATTTATAAAATTATATTTTTATCTCCATCTATGAATAGTAATCTAAAGGATAAACCTAGCACACAAATCTTTCTTTTACGCTCTTGATTCTCTTTTTATTCATAAACAATTTGGAATTCAATAGAATATGATAATTTCATGTAATATATTATATGGAAAAAAATACATTTGTAAGCTTTTGGGGAATGTTCAGACAAAATTCTTATTTAGAATCCCTCACAAACTATGGGTCAGAACTATAATCATTAGTGATTTTATAATAAGATTTTTGTCTGTATGCCCCTATCGATTATAGAAATTTATTTGTTTTTTTACATAAATCCCATTATAAGAATAGTGATAATTAATAAATAGTTTGTTCCTTATAAAATATTATATGTTGAACTGCTTATGATTTGGCCCCGTTTTGACCGTTTAAATTTATTTTAAGCATTTGGATTTATTAAAACTATTATTGTTATTTTCTCTTCCCTCCCTCCCTCTTCTGTGTCTCTCTCTAAAATTAAACACGCAAAGCTTTAAATGAATGAATAGAGACTACACACACCCAACTCCAACCATCCTTTGTTTTGTCTCCTTGTGGGATCTGCATTGATGGCTCTCAGATAACTTCCTTGCAGCCCCTTCCCTTGTTGTCAGTACAAAAGAGACTGTTAGCACAAGCAATCCCCATTCCTCTCTCTTTTAAAAAAACCAAAGGTCTCTCTCTCTCTCTCTCTCTCTCTCTCTCTCTCTCTTCCTCGTTTCTTCTCAGGCCTTCTTTTTTACTTACAGATACAGTATTGTGCAGAGAACTGCAACAAAATAAAATTGAGGAGGTTTGGAGCAGATGAACACAGTATTGTTCATTCACATCACAATGATCGAATGGCATCTTTACACAGCCCATTAGGAAACAAATGGAATATAACAAGCCCAAGAAAGAGAGCCCATTTGCCCAATGGATGGAATGTTTCAGACCCTCCTCCCCATATGAGGAAACCAACTCATCAATAGTACATAATCAAGCTGCAGAACCAAATCATCATCACCTTTGGATCAAAGATCCCTTCCTTGATTCCTCGATCTTTTGAAAAAAAATATTACATGAACAATAATATTTTATCTTTGTAATATAAATATTTTGTAACATTGTGAAATTGTAATGATCACTGCATTCCTAATGATGATGAAGAATAACAAGTAAAAGATTTTATTACCAGAATATATATCTTTATTCTTTGGAGGGAAAGATGCCTGGATATAACTTATGAGTTATGTATCAATCTTTTACGAAGAGGAAGATTGATCAGAGAGCTCCCATCCCAAAAACTGCAAGGGAATCTTCTGCTCCTTCCCTCCGCTCTGAAAAGCGTCAGGAAAAGGTTAAAGGGAAGTAAATGGGAACAGGCAGCAAGCTTCCAAATAAACCAATTAAAGTAAAACAATGAAGTGAAAGAACGAGGGGGAGAGAAAAGGCAAGGAGGGGCAAATGAGATCAATTAGCCTGGATGAAGGGACGAATTGGCAAAAACTTGCCTTGATGATTAGGAGGAGGAGTAAGCTTAGGGGGAAAAAGCTGCTCACTTTGGCTGATTTTTACATCCGTCACATTAAATTTGCTGATTTGACATTGTCAAAAGTCCACCCTTCCTTGGAGAATCTCATGCCATTTGTTGTCTTGCTCCCCTCTTTCTCTTCCTCTCTTACAAACACAGACAGCTTCTCCTTCTCTCTCTTTATTACCTGTTCTTCTTCACATTACTTCTACAGCAACCCACTTTGCCCAAACTAAGTGATATCATGTCATGAAAACGAAACTGCATGGTGAAGGAAATAGATTTTTTTTTTTTTTGAAAGTAGGTTTGAGTGGATTTCAATGATGGAAAAGAAAAGACACTCAGAACAAATAGGTGGCAAGAAGATGATGGTGTTATATTATGAAAAGAAAATGGAATTGGCCTAAAGCAACGAGCTCCTCCATAGCCAAACTTCTCCGCTTCTTTCAGAACTGAAGGACGCCCGTTCCCTCCCATTCCATTTTCTAAAACTCTTACATTATATATATTAATATTACTAGAGATGTGAGCATCAAAGTATAGTTTACAAAAATTTAATATGTTAAGATATTTAAGCTGTTCGAGCCGACAGCCAAAAGCTCTCAGCCACTTGTCTATGTTTGTATTCTCTCAACTCTCACTTTTACTTTAAACAATGGAAAAATAATAATGTAATTGTATTTATTATAAGCTTGAGTAAAAGTCTATTTAATTATATTTTTTTCAATTCATCTCATTATTAGAAAAGTGGTGTTAGTTAAACAATCAATATTTACATTAATTAAAAAACATGGTTATAAAATTATTTAAAGTAAGGCTAAAGCTGTTGATGGTGTGTCAAGCTCTTCCTTGCACAAAGTATGGTTCCAATTATCTCCTTGATTCTAGCACTCTAAAGTTTCGTTTGGGACAATTTTTTTTCTGCTTTAAAAAGCAATGAGGAAGCCTGCAATATAAACTGCACTCGGTTCCATTCCTCTAGCTTGGGGTTGAAGAGCTCTCTCTTCTCCCATTGAGCTAATGTCCCAAGGAAAAATTTTAGAGAGGAGCTTCCTTCTTGAAATTATAACGAAAAGATCCTCTTATGATAATTTCAGAATAAGCCAATCATCACTAAAGAGTGAAAAGAGAAGACAATAATAAATATAGAAAACTAAGCTCTCTCTCACTGGATACATAGTGAAAATTAATCTATTTATCTCCCTAAAAAAAGTGGATTAAACTGCACTTAATGCTTATGCTATTTTCTTTTATCTTCAAAGGAGCCTTATCATGTGCTATTTTACTTTGAAATTTTATTAAGGTTCGGGTCAACCCGTTTGTAAAATGGGTCGAGTTCAGGTTCAAATTTCTGACCCGTCTGAAAATTTGTTCGGTTTGGGGTTAACCCAAAACCCCGAAAATGACCTTGGTGACCCTGATCCCACTGTGGACTTGAGTCCTGGCCTCGCGCCTGCTTTGCTTGTGAATCCCAATCCTCGCCCCGTCGCCCACGCGTGCCCTACCAGTTAGTTCAGTGGCCCTAGCCCCACACTTGCCTTATTGCGGACTCACAGGACGAGTCGCTTGACCGGCCAGTCGATCCCGCCTCTGAAGTTTGGCGCGCCCTGCCAGCCTCACTCAAAGCTCACCTGTAGACCACAATCCCACGCTCACCCCTAGCCCCGCATTTAGCACCACACTCGCACTCGCTAACAAGACCCCTGCCAACACATTACTGAGCCCACAAAATTCGCCTGAGGCCGCTATTATATGTTCATGGGTCTGGTCAAGTCAACCAAGTAATCTGTGTGGGTCAGTTAAACCTGGTAACCCCGCGGGTCTGGTCCGGGTTAAAATTTTTAACCCGTTTGCAAAATCTGGTTGGGTTAGGATCAACCCGTTTAGTCCCGGGTCAATTTGAGTTAGACTCAAATCCAACACATTGACCCATTTTGACACCCCTAAAATATGCTAAGATCAAAGGCTGATCATGATATCACTAGTGAAATACATTATGATAATACATGTTAACAATTAAACTAAAAATAATTGTGCGCAATTCTTTGTTATGGTAATATTCTCAAATAAATTTAAAAATTAAAAAAAAATAAAAAAAATACATTCTCCATTAACATTCCACTAAAAAATATTAATATAGTACTAATTTCTAATATAAGCATTGATTAAAAATTGGGTTTTTTTTTTTATTTGTTAAGCCCTACTCATTGATTAGGGAAACATTTATAGGTCCTTAAAGGATCAAATGCTATGTAAAGCACAAAAAAGTATAATCAAAAGAAAATAAACCTAATGAGCCAATGATCATATCTATATTGTAAGATAGAAAAATAAAAAGCAAAAGGGAGGCATGAAGCCAACCCTCAA